GTTTTTAATATAAGAACACCATGCCAACTAAGTGAAATTAGTCAAGAAAGAAAAGAATTGGCTATAACGCTTATATTGGTGAACGCTTGGCTTTTGTTAGATCGATGAATGCAACATAAAATTTAGACTGCTGCTCTATTACTTTTTCTTGTAGTTGGCGGATGGAAAATATGGAATCGACGGTGCCACGGTTGGTGCGAAACCCCGTTTGCGATTCTGGAAGGATTTTTTCTCGATCGGTGAAAAGCTTAAAAGATGGCGTTTTTTATAAAGTAATGGCCAACTATGGTTTCTATTTAAAAAAACATATGTTTGTGTCAAAAATGACAGGCTTAAGAAAAAATCGGAGAACACAAAGTCATTAGGGATGTGATTATCTACAACTTTTATCTGAAAACTTTTTGTCTAAAATAGATTATAATGAAATTAGGAACAATTTTTAAAATAGCCAAAATTTGTTTTTTTTTCGAAATATGTAGCAAGCCACAAACTTTTTTTTAACAAAGATCTGAAAGGAAAGGAATTTATGACCCCACAAAACTGCAATTGTTTCCCAATTTAACCGACTCTCTATCTCCAGTAGTTTCCGAGATACACAGAGAACATCGTAGAAAACTCACCCTGTATGAATTCATATACATTTTACAATTACAATTACAGGATACAATTTAAAAAATAATTTTAAATTATGTCCAATAAACTACTATGCCCACATAATATTGAGACACCCCGTATATATTTCTTAAATCTATTGTAATATTAATTTTTTAAACAAAAATAATTGCTGGTATACCAATAGCAATAATTAGATAGACTGTTGTCACGAGTTTCATTTTGAAGTGGTAATTAGAGGTAAAAGTATAATCCGACATCGCTACATCCACTTCATGCCAAGACTTCATCAACTTAGGCCATTTCTTAGCCAGTCTTATAAATTCAAATGTGTACACAAATACGGTAAAGAAATACATCAAACCAGCTAAAAATTAAAACTACATATTAATAATTGACAAAAACGCAACTTAGAACTCCTTACAAGTCAATGGAAACTTTATCTTGTTTCTCCAAAAGAAATTTACAAAAAGAGCCGCATCCACAGCAACGAAAAAACACAAACCAATAGATAAAAAGCTTCTTTTGGAAATCCACAAGAATCTAACGCATCTGTAATCATTCTCTTTAGTTCCCTGTACCGGAAGTAATAAAAAGAAATGTCCAAGCGATACTAAAAACTGAAGTTTACTTTGTGTGGATTCACGAGAATTCTGCTGCATTGTTTTCTTATCAAATAATGGAATGAAACTGGAAATATTTCAAACTGTTTTTTAGTAATACGATTGATGGATTAATAAACATTGAAAAATCAAATGCCTCTAACTATTTCGACCTAAAAAAACAAATCGCTCGTTTAAATCAATTAACGTTTGTTGATTCTATATCTTTTATGTATTAGGTTTTATCGAGGGCGCAAAATATCGGTCGAAAAAAAAACATTAATATTTTTACTATATTAAAAACAATAATCGTTTTCTTGGAGTACTTGGGTGTGTAAACACGCTTTCTGTATGCAGGGCGGTTCAAAATATTTGCTCGACGAGATAAGACAAATTCACAAATAGAGCGAAATTAATAAACAAAAATAATGAAGATATCTGTGTGGAGGACTGTGTTGATTTCCTTCGGTTGAGATACTGCTGTTTAATTATTTTAATATCGCGTTTCCTGTAATTTATAACAAATATGTTATAGTTTATAGATAGATTAGATTATTAGTAGAAGATAATATATTTGTTTTATGTAAATACCGATATGCAAATATATTAATCCTATATAAACTGTGAGAAGATAAATGACCCAAATTATCCCAATTACATAGCGTAGTATATTCGTGCAAATACTAGGAGCTTATCTAAACTCTTTTTTTTTTCTCATTGATGCGGAAGAATAAATTCTACCGATATTTCAGTAGCGGGTTGGTTAAAGTATGAAAATGTATGATAAACGGATAAATCTTTATTAATATTTTATTGAAAATTGGTAAACAGTAAACACATACAATTTTTTTGTTACTATTGATTCGCAAAACAGTAATTTTTTACTAGTAAAATATATTTCTATTTTTCTTTAGCTTAACATGCACAAGATGCCAAACTACGGTATATGTCGCATCTGGTTTAACTTCCAGACTCATCAGATATCAATCTGACCAATTTAAATATTAAACTAATTTGCAATATATTTCCATAAAAATATTACTTGCAAAATACACTCACCGACACGAAAAATGGGCACCTTAATTTTTTTATGTACACTCACCGGCAAAAAAACCGGCCACTAAAAGCTAGTCCCAATTTCAATTTCCGATTTTGATGATTTTTTTTAAATTGTAAATTAATTCCTTCTTAACGGATGCTACGTCAGAAATTTTTATTCTAAATTTATTTTGAGCATATACAGGGCAAAATAATAAGACGAAGTTTTTTTCTTGAACTTTGTAACACCCTGTAGGGTGCAGCACCTGTAGTAGCTATTGCTAAATCAAATCACATTGTAGCCTCATCTTTGTGAGCATTTTATTTTTTTAATCACGACATTATCTCTGTTTGTATTGGAGATAGGCTGCTTTAAAACGATATGAGCCATAAATAATAAAAACAAGTTTAGGCTGGAAAATTATACAGTGTGCTACAAATTCGAGGTACGAGCATTGGTATCTCGGTAACCGTAATAGATACGAAAATGGTTAAATTGGGGCAAAGTTGCCCCCCCGCCTTGGGATGTTCATTAAAATTCCATCAAAAAAGTTTTAGAAATTTTAAGGATTCCTGAGTTTTTTGGAAAAAACGGATTTTTAAAAAAATCAAATTTATTTTTTTCTGTCGTTAGTTTTTAGAAAATCAAAAAACTAATTAGACATTCTCATAGTCACTTTATTAGGGCTATCTGCTAGTATTTTTAGATTTTCAAATTAGCTGATAATTTGTGAGATACAGAGGCCGACTTATTTTTTTTAAATACGGACCTGCATTTTTTATATTAGATTTTGGAATAACTCGGTCTCCTGAGTACAATGATATGCCACACTTTATACTTTTTTTTTGTTTCGTTCGACATTTGAACACAAAATTTATTTAAACTAATTTCAAGTCCGGCTCTGTTTTTTAAATATTTAAATTATTCATCGTTACAATATTGAAAAGCCTTCAAACTTAACTATGACGTGGGGTAAAATATTGAATACTAAAAATCAAATTCAATATATAAATAAAATTGAAAGAATAATAAATTTGTGCAATAGGCAAGGTGGTAACCCTTTCGAACATGTAGAGCATTAGAAACTAGTTTGTAGAAAGTGATTTATTTATAATAACTACGATTAATATTATGCATATTGTTAGATCGTGCACTGAGAATTTCAAATTCACAATAAAAAAAGTTAAGAATAATATCTTTAAATTGCTGAGATGCATATTATTTATTTGAATCTTTCAATTGGCTCGATTTTCCTTATTCAATGTTAATTAGCACTGATCAATATTGTTGCAATGAATATAATCAGATTAAATATTTTAAGAAACCAGGGTCGAATTTGAAAATATTTTAAATAATAATTATAAGATTAAACGAACTTACCTTAAGTGAAGTTCAATCTTAATTATGTTCACGCCTTGCTCGAAGTGATCACACTGTAGTATTCGTCCGCTCTGTCGGCGCCACGTATCGGTACCAAAGAAATAAACAAACCTCCCTCCATATCCCCGCACACCGTCGAGCCTACCTTCAGTTTTTATTTTTTTTTTTTAGTGATTTATCTCAAATCCAGTGATCACAGGGTTTATTGTGCTGGCTCAGTACTAGCAAATTATATCTTCTGGGGTGTGGTGGGTGTGATCACTTCGAGCAAGGCGTGAACATAATTAAGATTGAACTTCACTTAAGGTAAGTTCGTTTAATCTTATAATTATATTCACGCCTTGCTCTCGTGATCACACTGTAGATTTTTAGAGCGATTTGAGATTTATTTAACTATATTGTTGTACTACCAGAAGGTAATCAGTCAAACCAAGAACTACTTTAAGCTGAAATAAGGTTTATTTAATATAATTTAGTAAAGGTAATACACAAAAACGGTAACTTACAATAAGTTTTGAATAATAATGTGCAAAACAGTAACAACGAACGAGAACATTGTTCATATGATAACAAATTATATCTAAACAATAAATTTAATTAACAATAACTCAAAAAAAAAAAACAAACTAACATTGTAAGATGGACCTAGCAAATTCGTTTTTATTGATTACGGGGCGATTATAAAACTTTGCAAAGGTATCTGACCTTTCAGACCAGCCAGCTGTGCTTCTTATTAAGTCTAAAGATACACCCTTATTTTTTGCCGTTGAAGTGGCTGTGTGCCTTACGCTATGTGCTGAAAAAATCTTTATATCCACACCACTGTTTCCCAGGGTGCGCTTTATCCAGCGACTGATGGTTTGAGACGTTGCTGGTTTCCATGGTTTTTTAAAAGTTAAAATTAATTTAGTATTTTTCAGTCTTAAATCTTTAGTTTTTTGCAAATAAACGTCAAAGGTTTTTGCAGCACAAACTCTAACGTCCTTTTGAAAATAAGGCACATATAAAACAGGTTGAGATCTATTAATACCCGAAGTTTTTGTTTTACCACTTATAAAAATCTGATATCCTGTCTCATTTTTATGGATATTATCCATTTCGATAAGGGAGAACGTTTGCACACGATGGGCTGTTACTAAAGCTAGCAGCGTTACAAACTTATAAGTTAATATTTCAAGGCTTAGGTCTTCGTTTGGATAAAAGGCCTTTAAATAATCTAAGACCACGCTCGGATCCCAAGTGTAGTTATATTTTGGTTTACTTGGTCTAAGGTTTTTTATACCTTGGAAAAATCTTTTAATTTGAGGATCTGACCCTAATGTTGGTGAAGTTATTAGAGCAAGTGCTGACCGAGCGCAGTTTAGAGTACCGTAGGCAGCGCCTTTATTAAACATCTCTGTCAAAAATTTTAAGGTCCAGTCAATAGACAAAGCGTACCTATCTATATTATTCGCTGAACAGAAATTCCACCATAGTCTCAGGCAACTATTATACTGCCTTGTAGTTCCCTCGGAAAGTGAAGATAACATTATCTGGATACTTTCTTCTGGGATTCCTCTTATCCTGAATGCTTGTATGATAACAATCCTACCGCCAGGGAAAGGTTCCGCCAAAGAGGGTGAGGCTTCCTGTCAACAGATAAGAGTAATTCTCTATTAGGATTTAAGATGATAACTTCCTGAATAAGTAATTTATTAAACAAAGGAAACCAGGGTTGTGTTGGCCAATAGGGTACTACCAAGATAACTGTGGCCTTGTCAAAAATAATTTTTTGCAATACTTTTGTTATTAAGGAAAAAGGAGGGAAAGCGTATGATGTTTTTTCCTCCCAGGATATGGTAAAAGCATCGGTGGTAAGAGCATCTGGATCTGTATGCCAGGATATGTATTTCGAACATTTTTTATTATTCCGACTAGCAAATAAATCTACGTCTGGCTGTCCAAACGTATTACAAATTTTTTGAAAGGCCCAATTAGCTAATTCATACTCTATATCTTGCGAAATTTTTCTCGATTCAAAATCCGCCTCTATGTTATCCTTTGATTTAATGTAAACAGCGACTATGAAAATATTACGTTCTTCGCACCATTTCCAAATTTGCCTTGATATTTTGTTAAGTTCTGGAAATTTAATTCCGCCCATGCGGTTAATATACGAAACGGCTGTTGTATTATCAATGCGAAGCAGAACGTCGCAATCTTTTAAATTTTGAGCAAAACATTTAAGGGCGAAACCTGATGCTAATAGCTCTAATATATTAATATGGTAGGATTTTTCCCTACAGCTCCACTGACCACTGGCTCTTTGGTTATTACAACATGCACCCCACCCTCGTTTAGACGCATCTGAGAAAATTTCTATCGCAAATTTTTGTGAAAGGACTAAATAATTAACAGATTTTAAAATATTGGATTTCCACCATTCTAAATCTTCCAAAATAAAGCGTGGGATAGTCATTATCGCGTTATACGACCCTCTGGATTTAATTAAAGCCAAATACTTGGCTCTTTCTAAATTTTTAATATATAATTTCCCATATTTTAATGCAGGGCATGCTGCAACTAATTTCCCGACAAGCTTAGAAAAATATCGAACGGTACAATTTTTTAATCTCAACATATTATCAATCCATTTTTTAATGTCATTCTGTTTTTCTCGAGGGAGCTCCAAGGTCATAGTCCTAGTATTAAATGTAAACCCCAAGAAGGTGCATTTTCTTCTTGGACTAATGTTAGATTTTTGAAAATTTATTACAAAACCTAATCTTTGTAAAATATCTAAAGTTATTTTTACATTGTTTAAACACTCTTCAAACGACTCCCCCAATAAAAGAAAATCATCCAGGTATACGACCGACAAAAGACCTTTAGATCTCAGAAAATGTAAGACAGGCTTTAAAAGTTTCGTAAATACTCTTGGCGCAGTACATAACCCGAATGGGATGCAAGTGTATTCATATAATTGGTCTTTAAAAGAAAAACGTAAGTATTTTCTATGGTCTTTGGCTACTTTTATCAGAAAATATGCCTCTTTGAGGTCTATAGTAGCCATAAACATGTCTGGGGAAAGAAACTTTACTACTGTTTTTCTATCTTCCATTTTAAAGTGTGTTGTTTTTACAAATTGATTAAGTTGTTTTAAATTTAAGATTAACCTGTTTTTGCCATTAGGTTTTGTAATTAAAAATATTTTGGAAAGGAATTGCCCCCTACAGGGTTTACATTTTTTTATAGCTCCAATTGTCAGGAGGTGTGAAATTTCATTCTGAATTTTTTCTATATCGCTTTTAGACCATCTTTTATTAGCAAAATTTATTTTTTGGCTTACTTTCTTTATGAAAGGTATTTTATACCCTTTTACCCATGAAATTATTTCAGGGTCTTTTGTAATTTTATACCACTCATGTACATAATGAAACAATCTACCTGCTCTAAAACCTACCTCGTGAGTAGACATGTTGCTATTGTCTAATAACGATAACGGGGCCTCTCTGGTTGTTTCCTGTTGTAGGACTGTTCCCTGCGCTGATATTGAGCACGATGACTGTTGTGGAACTTCCTCTTGAAGCTCTGAGATCCCGCCAGGACTGATGAGCGTCGAGGCGGGGCCCTGGAGTTTTTTGGGTCGCTGGTTTTCTTTTTAAGAGGCAAAACCTTTGGTTTCAGCAGCTCCTGTCCTGACTTTTCAATTTGTTTAACATTCTTAATCCTCTCACCCAAGTTTTCTCCGAACAACCAGGTGTCAACAGCAGTTCCAACAATTTCCTTCAAGTGTTTGTCTAATCCAAAACTTACAACATTTTGCCTGGATATTGACTGTTCGTGGTGAATGTCTGCAAGCAGTCTTGCCCCATCACTTAGCGCTTCAATTATTGGTATCATTTGGTCCCCTTCCTGTGGTTCCAGGGAAATTAACATCGACAATGCCTTACCCAAGGCTGCTAAGCTTTTTCCCATCTGTGATTGGACTTTGACTAGCCGTTCGTCCCTTTTAATGGCTGTCTCATTGATGGCGGCCAAAACCTCAGGGTTAAGCTTGGGTGATGAACAAGATAAACAATTTTTAGGTACCTTGTATTTTTCCATAACTTTCATTTTTTCTTCGTCCTTCATACCAGACTTTAATATGCTCTCCCATTGGAGTGCAACGTCCTTCTGGATAGGATCAGCAAAGTCTTCTGTTTCGTTTTCACGACATAAAAGGTTCAAGATAGTCGGGTCGATGTTAACCTCAACCGGGGGCGCCTCGCCTGCAAGGCAAATCGTTTTTGATTAGTCATGATTATGACCTCCTAGCTGACCTTACTCAAGGTCACCAGGGAAAATTTGAGAAAAATAAAACAATAATATGATCCTTTTCTTGTTCAAGATCAGGTCATATTCTTTCGAAATTGGTTTGCACTACAAAACGTTAAGCAAAAAAATAAAATTAAAATTTAAACTTACTGTCGTTTTCGGCATCACTCTCCGTGTCTATGATAATTCGCCGAAAACTTGTACTGCCCTTGCCCCTCCTGGAGCTTGGCCTAGAACGACCTGCATGTCGTCGTCCAGCTGACGATGTAGGTTCAGGCGAAAATCGACCATCTGCACTGCTTGAACGCCGCTGGCGTTTTTTACTCCTATGTTTTTCTTGTAAATCTCGGATTTTCCGTCGAATGTTACAGATCTTCCGCTCGGTACTATCCTCTGAGTCTATACTATCGCTTGAAGAAGAGTTTTCCGAAGTTGAAACACTATATTTTCTCTTATTTCCCATTTTTTTTGTACACGACACGCGACGACCCGACACTAACGCACGTAAATAAAAACTGAAGGTAGGCTCGACGGTGTGCGGGGATATGGAGGGAGGTTTGTTTATTTCTTTGGTACCGATACGTGGCGCCGACAGAGCGGACGAATACTACAGTGTGATCACGAGAGCAAGGCGTGAATATAATTAAATAGTTTTGTTGTTGTTAAGGTACCCAAAACAAAAAAATAGTATAAAGTGTGGCATATCGTTGTACTCAGGAGACCGAGTTCTTTCAAAAACTGAAATAAAAAATGCAGGTCCGTATTTAAAAATATTAAGTCGGCCTCTGTATCTCACAAATTATCAGCTAATTTGAACATCTAAAAATACTGTCAGATAGCCCTAATAAAGTGGCTATGAGAATATGCAATTAATTTTTTGATTTTCTGAAAAGTAACGACAGGAAAAAATAAAGGTGGTTTTCAAAAAAAATCGTTTTTTCCAAAAAACTCAGCAATTCTTGAAATTTTAAAAACTTTTTTGATAGCATCTTGGTGAACATCCCAAGGTGCAACTTTGCCCTAATTTAACCATCTTCGTATCTATCACGGTTTTCGAGATACCGATGCTCGTACCTCGAATTTGTAGCACCCTGTATAACATATATAACCATACCTGGCGGACATAATAATTGATAGACGTATTTTATTGCTTTCGGTAATTTCCTGTTCCACCGGAAATGGCTACAACCCTTGATTTTTAAATTATATCCCCGTATTTTTTTTACTTTATTGGATAACATAGCACTGTGAATAGAATGACATATCATGTGTCAACTTTTGACACTTTTGCATATTTTTTTGAAATTATAACATGCGGTTCATGACGAAAATTTGACTCGAAATACCAAATGTGTGGTACCAAATTATTGTTCCATTTGAAAAGATTGAAATGTGATTAAAAATACGGTTTGACGACCTTTTAACCGGCCAGGAGAAGACATGAAAAACACTAGACGATCAAATCTATTTTTCCAATGATTTTTGATTAAAAATTAGTGTTTTTAACTTAGTCATGGCACTCTAGATTGAAATTTATAATATGACTCTTCTTAAGCCAAAATGTCAAAAGTTGACATGTGATAAGTCATTCTATTCAAAGTGTCATTTTAAAGGTATTTTTTTTGAAAATATACCGAAGGTCCCATTTAAAAATCAAAAGTCGTAGTCATTGCAGACGCAGGAAGAGCATTGGTGAAGCAGGAAGTGGCCGAAAATAATTGAATACGTCAATAAATCCTAATTTACGTCATATACTAACTTACCAAATCTCGCTTATCTAAAAAAAATAAGAAAGTTATAGGGGTATACGGACAAACAAAGCACATTTGGATTAAAGGTAAATTTGAGGTAAATTTTGCGCAATGAAGTTGTTTTGGTGTTGCAATGAACTTGCATATTTAGTATGATATAAAAACATATTAGTATGATTTAAAAACAATAACTTCTCTATTATATTATTACTATTTAGATATTTTTTTGGACACGGCGTATAAAACAGTTTAGGGTTTAGGTTAAATAATTTAATTACGGCTGACTTATCAACGTATATTTATTTATAATTTTATTTTAATAGCTCATTATATGTAAACATTATCAGTATTAAATAGTGGGTAACATTTTAATGAACACAAACTTTTTCCAACTTGTTGACTAAAGATCTCTAGTAAAAGGGGTTAAGGGTAGGGCATTATTTATTCAGCACTTATTAAAAAAGCAATGTTACCTCCACATAATGTAAGTAGTATTCAGATGTAGGTGGCACACCGTAACGAGCAATAAAAGTAGAAAAAAAAGCTCACGGGGATCCAAAGACTTACTTCCATCAGAATTGCAAGTGCCTACAGAACAATCTCTACAGAGGCAGTAGGCGTAATCGCAGGGGTTCCACCCATAGACCTATTAATAGAGGAAAGGAAGGAAATTTACAATGGAGTACAGAAGCAAATCGCGAGAGGGGACCTACTCGACAAGTGGCGAAAACATGGGTAAGAGGTATAAAAAGAAGTTGGATAATTCTGATATTAGGCAATGGATATCCAGGCCATTCGGAGAGGCTGATTACTTTGTCACGCAAACTCTATCGGGACATGGTTGCTTTATGAAGTATCTAATGGAAAGGAAGAAACGCGAATCAGATAGTTGCAACTACTGTGGAAATATTGATGATGCAGAACAAACACTGTTTAGATGTACGAGATGGGACTACATTCGTAATGATTATAAAACTCATACCTGATCAGTTCTCAATACGGAAGATATGATGAAATATCTCACTGGGACAGAAGAAATGTAGAAACTAACTGCAGGGATAATAAGACAAATATTAGAGAAAAAGGAAAATGACATAAGAAGACAGTAAACAGACAGCTATCATGACGAAGTAATGCGGAAGCGGTTTCCACCATGATCAGTGTTAGGGAAGTGTGTTTTTTCAGCCGGTAAGAATCCGGCACTACCCGGCACTAACGACCATGGTTTACTGTTATTAGAGTGCTGGGTGTCTTATGCAAGATTTGGACGAAGTAGTCCCAAGTAGCATTTGGACGTTATCTAACGTCGGGTATACGTCGCGTTCAATAAACCCGACGTCGGGTACCAACGTCGGTTCGACCGCTTGACGACCCTTATTTGCACCTAAATGGGGAATACAGATTCGGGTCGCCTCGACGTCGGTATCTGACCTAAAAGGGAATGTAATTCTACCAATTACCAACGTCATATTACGTTGGATTTTAATCACTTAAAATTCGTCGCTAAGCACTTACGTTACGTTTGGTTTCATATTCGCTACCAAAAATACATAAAAACCTAACCAAACTACCTAATTACAAATGGATTCATAATCACTTCTCGAATATAACTATAAGTGCCTATCTAATTTCATATTATGATAATTTTGAATCATTAATCCAGACATCAGTTTTGTCAACGGAAGTGACTTTCTTGATATATCTGGTTAAAATACTCCGGAAAACAACGAGCGCTTTCAAAATTAGGTAGATTTATGAAATAAAAATATCTATAAAAAAGTAACTCGCAAAATATTTTTTTTTTATTTTCTAGCTGGTTTAATCATAAAACTGTACTGTGGTTCCCCCCAAACTCAACCTTATCAATATTATTCTACTAGAAATCGAAATGTGAATATAAATTTTAAAAACAAAAAACGATTTTAAAATGGCTGACAATCGGATACGTGTTAAGAATGGCGGATTTCTGTGTCCGACTTAATATGAACTACCAATATACACTACCAATACCAATATACAATTCCGACCGGGTCTCCAACATTAGTCGTCTCACACGACCGAAGTCATCAAACCGGACGACCGGCAATCGTATTATGACGTATATAATTCCAACGTACGCCACGTAACCTCACTTTGCGTATCAGTGATTTGTGGATTTGTGCAACTATATTTTAGTTTTTGTTTTCTCCTTAAAAAAATGGGCAGCCACTTTTTTAAGCCTAACCTCACATGTCGGAGGAGGATGGGGTCTGCTGGTTTCCTAAGCTAAAAAATGAAATTAAGATGCACCAGTGTAATGCAGCATCTCTTCCGGATAAAAAGCATTTACGGGTGGAGGCAAGACATCACTACTACTATTATTATTTTGCAAAAACTTCGACCTCTTTCTGTAAAATGTAGATGAATGTCTAAATGCATTTTTAGTGTTTTTTTAGGCATAATAAAAAAATTAAGTTTGTTTACAAAAACTTTTTATTAGGTTATGTTCATGATGTTCATTAGGTCGCAAATGCTACCTAATGGGTTGTATTTACCGACGTAAATAGAGATACGTAAATTAGGTTATAAATATGAACAATATATTGGACGTTACTTTAGGGATTATCAGTGAGACGTATTCTATTCGGACAACGGGTAGAAGCTAGTTCAAGTATATGTACGTCGTGCAAGCCAACGTGGGAACGACGTTGGGAAATTAATAAAAATGGTACGTTGTTATTTTGTACGTCGACAGATCGTTGGATTTACCGACTCGGATTCAACGACGTCGCTTTTAATAGGAAAGCGACGTCACAGGTCGCATCACCAGCACCCGACCTAAATTTGCACAAAGTCTGACGTCGCTTCAGGTCAGATTTAGTTCGAAATCAGATAGATGCTACTTGGGGTCGCGATCGGATCGCGATACATCGATCTACAAAATTTGGATCAGGTGCGTTTTGCGGGGATACACTTTTGGGTGGGCATGATCCTCATCGATTGTGTATCTCAAGAATCGGTGAATTGGTTGGTGGAAATCGCACCTAATCTTAAAAATTGGCAAAGGCCGGAACTGGTTGCAGTGAAGGGAGAAAACAACCCTAAAAGGGCGGCTAGATATCACGGTCTTTCTGCCGACGAGCAAGGGGAAAGACACCACCTACCTGCTGAGCCTCATCCAGGGTCGGAACTTCAATGTAAGGACATCGAGTTGTCGAGTCATCAACTCGAGGGAGGAGGGTCATGGTCAGGTCCTCATAATAGGAATTGATCTCAAGTCCAAGGAGGCAATAGCGGTATCAGGTCTAAGGAGAGACCAAGTTAAAGAGGTGGAGAAAATGGAGACAGATACTCCAGCCTCCACCTCACGGGTTCCTCAGGCGGAGGCAAGCTCCTCGACTGTGAAGGGCGGCACGGAGAGGGCCAAACTCCAACCGTGGAAGAGTGTGTACCCTCGGAGGAAGAACTGTTTTCAGAGGAGGATGGGAAATACCCTGTCCCCTCTACAACAGCGGTATGATGGGTTATAGACTGTGTGATGACTCAAGTAAGGGGACACAATAGATCTTTAAGGTCGCAGTGATAATCCCCTCCTCTTACTCATTCTACATTCTATGCAAGATTTTCTTTCCCACAAACAAAAAAAAAGATATAGGTAATAATTAATTTATTAAATTTATTTTCCTGTAGTGCTTCGTCATCCCACAATTACCCTCTGTACACAAATGTGGAATGACAAAGCACTACAGGAAATTATATCCTCTGACGTGCCAG